CTCCAAAGTCATGTGGCTGGCATGATTGCATGGAGTGCTGTTACCTTCCTGCCAGAGCGCTACCTATTGATCTACTCACATTTGCATATTTTTGAACTGCTAGGTTGTCAGAAGCTGGGACTGACAGCAGAAGTTCACACCGCTCCCTGACGTGAGCTTCGGTCAACAAGTTTAGCAGCTCAGCGGTTTAACCCACTGTGCCACCAGGGCTCCTGGGTTGTCTTAATATCACCATAATTTGTTGTTTATTTATGTATTTGTTTGTTTATTTATTTACCACACTTGTACCCCACCTTTTTCAGCCTAAAGGGGACTCAGGGTGGCCTTACAATGGCAACAATTAAATGCTGCATATATATATTCATATGGATAAATAAAAAATGCATTAAAATCCAAACCATAAGGCCAAAACAACTTGAAGGAATACAGCAAAAATTTATGTTCTCTTTCTGGACAGTACTGAACAAATTATGGCTTGACACAAAAAAAAAAACCCACAAATGATAAATGTTTTTCTCAGTGTAAAAGTCTGAGAAAAAATGGAATTTCTCCCTTCTGCAAAATATTCCTCTTTATGTAAAATGTGCAGGTCACATCATTCTACAAAACTGAATCTTCTCTGGCCAGTTTATTTGACCAGAGAGGATGACCTGCTTGATGGAAAGAACCTGACAAGAAACAGACTCTCCATATTTAACAACTGATTGCTGCTGAACTACATGATCACCTTTGGACAGAAGATTGTGATGACTATACAACAGCTGACCCTAGGTTTTCAAGGACTAATTTCCCAATTTACAGAGTTAATTAAACATAACAGAACACATTGCGAATTTATATATAGAAACCAATTAAAAAGAAAAACCCTTGAAGTTTTTAATCACCTTTCAAATCTAAGGTCTTGTGGGCTTACTTGAAACAGACCGCTATGCCAACTGTTACGAAGCTTGAAAATGCAAAGACAGGACTATCTAACTCTGCTGTCAACTTCATGAGAAGGATATTCAAAGAAATGTGTTAGGAATGCTTGTTCCTAAAAACTGGATTTTATTATGAAGACTTGCTTGATTTGAAGGAAACAATGGACAAGAGTATATTCGATAAGACTCATGCGCAGTGAAGCTGCTGCCTAAGCAGTGCTGCTGAAGCTATGTACTGGTTATTTTTATACCTATGTGCCGTATTGGTGCCATTGGGTGCATGTAGTTCTTTCTTTCCTGCAAATTCATGTAAGAACAGCAGTTAATGGTTCACAAATGAATATCAATCCATGGTCCTTCACTTTGAGTCACACTGACCTAAAGCATGAAATCCAGATACATATACATATTTAGATGTAGTCATAGCAACCTACTAACACGTGGTTCTTCTATACCTCCCTTAGACTAGTACTGTATATATTTAAATATAACCTAGTTTTTAAACCCTTTTTTTAGACTGAACTCCCCTCCCCCGGCCCGGCTTATATTCAGGTGAGGGTCCTGGCGGGAAGGCATGGGGCTGAAAGGGCTTCTTTTAGCCCCACGTCTTCCTGCCAGGACCCTCACCTCTCTGCACAGCAACCCAAGTCTCCTTCCTCTCCTCCTCTCGGTGCAGTTTGCGGTTTCCTCTCCTCTTCTCTCAGCGCAGAGCACACCTTCCTCTCTACCTCTCTCAGTACAGCACATGCCTTCCTCTCCTCCTCTCTCAGCACCAGTCTTTCCCACTTTTCCTTATTCATATACATATACATACAGCATTTCCCCCAAAATGTATAGTTAAAATGAACAGTGGTGATTATTGGAAGGACACGTAAGCACATTTGCACTGAAGAACATTAGAATAATGATTTAATCAGAGTTGGGCAGTTATCTTAAATTAGTTTTATCTAAATATTAAAAAAACATTTAATCTACTGATGCCTCAATTAATGTAATTTTATTAGTATCTATTTTTATTTTGAAATTTACTAGTAGCTGCTGCATTTCCCACCCTTGGGTTATTCTTGAGTCAATACATTTTCCTAGTTTTTTGTGGTAAAATTGGGCGCCTCAGCTTATTTTCGTGTTGGTTTATACTCAAGTATATATGGCAAATTCATACACTTATGTGACAGATAATACTATTCAAATCCAAACATTCTGTTTTCCTCCAGGATCCTTATCAAGGATTCACAGTTTATTTTCTGACTAGTTAACATCTAAAATTTCCCAATGGAATTAAAAATGTTTGTAACAACTCCAATGAACTGATTTCATATAGATAGCACAAATCAGAGCATGCGTGGAGTGTTTTTCCAACACCAGGATTCTTCTCTTTACTCTTTCACCATTATCCTTTATCCATTATCAATTTTATGACCCACCTAATCATCACTTTGAAGTCAATGAGTGCAACAGCACCCACAAGCTGTCACTGAAAGAAGATTTATTCCTCTTTATAGAACTATGTATTTATATACAGTGCCTTCTACACCAGGCTTTCTCAATGTTTTTGCCCTGAATGAACCCTTGAAATAACTAAGTTATCTCAGGTCTGGGATAAAAATCATTAGGTCTATAGTTCAAATAATATGTTTTTTGTTCCAATTAAGATCTTTTGCAGCATCCTCGTGACTTCTTTTGGAATCCTGGGGGATTCAAGAAGGCATGAAAATCCCCGCTTACAATCTAAAATAGAAATAGAGGAAGGAAAAATGGAAACACAAGCAGTAGGGAACTTAGTTACAGCAAAGAGTAGGGGGGAAAGGGTAAGGTAGACTCCCAGAGACATTATTGATTGGAGTTTATTGATCTGATAAGATTGTTAAGAGGTTCTAAGCACAGAAACCAATCACTATCATTATACAAGTATATACCCATTGCTCAAAACTATTCTAGTCTCTAATAGCAACTTTTAATTATTCCAGAACAATAAATATAATCTGGATCCCTTTTTTTGCACTTTGTTACTAATTAGAAACAAATAACTTAAGTCACATCAGAAGGAAGATCCAATGGACTTAGAAATGGTTGACTGTTGCAATGAAATTTGTTGTATCAATGGAAGTAATGAAATGCAGTTGTAAGACAAATCTGGAGGGATAGATTGGTTGAGTTGAAGGGATGTGGACCTTTAAAAACTGAGATATATTAAAAAATAATATTACAAAAAAAACATTTGTTTTTTTTTGTTGTTTTTTTTAAGATTTGGATATCTACTCTTGGAGAAGAATTGCCTATCTAGAAGATCCAAGCAAAGTTATTGTGGGAACTAAAAGGCTAACATTATTGTAATATAAGTAGTACTCAAATTTATCAAAGTATCTCAAATGTATAACTACCTTGCCACTTAGCCACCTGGAAATAATTCTAGCAAGGGGAATGGGGAGACCTGGCTTTTGTAACTCTTCTGGCAACCTAGCTAGGGGGAACCACAATTCTCTTGCCTAGGAAACCATCCGAGCCAGTGGTTAAGACTGTTAGCGATTGAGGACTTGAAAAGTCAGGCTGGCCCCACTTGGACATGGAAGGAAGCAGGTGAAAACTTGGAAGGGAGCCTTCCATTCTGCCTTGGCCAAGCCCATAAATCTCTATTTCAAGTCCCCTCCAGCTGGCTTGCCTGCCTGGCAGCCAGCACACACTTCCCCTTCACTGGCTGCTTTTCAGGAAGTTGTGGGTTACAACTGCGATTGAGACCACTCTTTTCCCTTTTCCAAACAAGAACAAGCAAGGACAAATTAAGAATAGGGAGCATTAGAAGAAAACAGGTCGAGGTATGAGAAAAACAGGGGCCAGGAAGGAGGAGAGCAGGAGAGGACAAAACCGTTCTTAATGAAATGATCAGTGGCTTCTTTAATGGCCAATTACCATATAAAAGACTTATGTTATATGTCAAAGGTACTCATAAAACAGCACCTGCCTTTTACAAGGGCAAACATTAAAAGAGCCCTTTTAGGGACTCTGAATTCTGTAGCATGCCTTTGCATTGTATCTTTGTTATTATATTACATACAAATCCATCTACAAGCTTCCCTCGATGAAATATAAGCACGTCTGGAAATAATATGAGCATTAAGACTGCTGTTATAAGTACTTTGTAAAGAGTAGCCCACCAGTTCACACTGTGATTTCGTTTTGAGTCTATAGGATTTTAGTGACAGAATATTAAACAGACCTCATGAAAAATGGAAATACAAGCCATATTTCAGAGAGAACGTAGTGTTCTTCCTTTATATAATGAACATAGCTAGTAATCAAACACTAAAAGAGAGTAATATGTTTACAGACTACTACAAATAATTTTTAGTGTTTGTTTACTAGCTATGATGTTCATTATACAAAGGAAGGAAACTATGTTTCCTCTGAAATATGGCTTGTATTTCCATTTTTCATAGAAATTAACATTCTCCAATCTAAAATTTAACATTCTCCAATCTAAAAGGAGGCTTTAAATAAATCCAATGGACACCAGCATGTTGGTTTATGTATTTTTATTTTCAGCAAGCTTAATTGCATAACCCAATGAGTAAAGGATTCTATAACACCTTCTGTATGCATTCTTAAACATTACACAATTCACAGCAATACAAAATATACTGAATGAGTTACACTCCACTTGAACAAAATTGATAAAACTTGAATCATTTCAGGGACGTCCAAATCACTGAAGCTTTTTGACCAATGTTTTGACTTTAGAGGTAAACTTACAAGTATCACAAGCTGCTTTGAAAGTAGCCTCCATTTCAAAAGTAGTTTGCTAAGTGACAAAGTGGCAGCTATTTGAGAAATTAAAGTTTACTATCCACACAGCATGTAGCACTATTGCTTAGTGCTGTGGATTTCAGCCAATATGCCTCTTATGCAGACACAACTGGAAAATAATCTCAGCGCTTATACCAAACTGAACAGCGGCCAGTTCCATTTTTGCCAAGCAAAAGCATGGAACAACTCAATGGGAACATAACGTCATAAGCACATGAAACACTCAATTCAAATATCACGTTGAGCTCAGACTTTCTAATAAAACAACTTCAGTCTTACCTTATATCTCATTTTAGGGCACGAATGAATATAAAATCCCATGTAGTAATAGCTTAGTTCAGGGGCCTTTTCATGAAGCTGTCTAGTGAAAGCAATTTCTCTGTAAAAAGAAGTGCAATCAATGAGAATGGATAAAAAGATAATACTGAAGATAGATGTTCACAGATGCTAGGAGCTCCTTACAATGGAGCAAAATTAAGTAATACGGAATGACCTAATTTTTGGCCTATGTTAAAGGAATAATTACATTTCGGTCTTTGAAAACGACAGTAATAACTGCAGAGACAGTTCTATATCAAAACCCCACAAAACCACAAAGTAAGAGGACCAATTTTGCATTTTGTCCTGCCAAAAAGCTAATCTGAAATTCAAATTGCAACTAATTTAAGGCACCCTTTTAACATGTTTCCTTTTAATATTCATGTATCAATGCGCTATAGACGTCTGGCCCAGTCATTGTATTCAGCCAAGCTAAGACAGTACTGCAGACTTCAGAGCATTTTAAAATCAGCAAGTTTCAAAGAGAAACATCCAATGAGTGGTGGCTATTTACATGCTAATACCTAAATGCAGCAAATGCTCTTTTCCATTTCCAGTGATTGTGTTTTCTGTACTCATTCTAGTCCACTCTATTTATTTATTTGAAAGAAAAATGGCAGTATTTCCCCTTTCTTATTCAGTCCCGAGACAGTGAGGAATGACATGTAGGTCTGCAGCTCTCCTCTTTTCAGTATTATATCAGTCATTTGGAAACAGCTGCTTTCATCCAACTTAGACATCCTCAGTGATATTTGTGAGACTAAGGGATGTGCAACTGCCAAATTTGCCCTGTTTTATAGTAATATCTCTACTAGTCCCAGCATTTCAGTTGTTTCAGCCAAGTAATTGGCACCCTTAACTGAGCAGCTGTGATATCAAAGAATAGTGGGGGAAAGAAACTCTGGTAGTCTCAACATAATACCTATGAGCACCACTGTGTTCATTGAGATTTCCTGATATTCATCTTTATCTGCCCCTCCTGATTCCAATTTTTATTTTACTAAATAGATATCACAAGACTTTGGTGCTTTTTCTCCAAAAGGTTCTTACCAATTTTTCTAAGACAAAGGAAATCATTACCGTATGTAACAAGGGTGGGTAGCTTCAGAGGTCTACACACCAAACCCCACCGGGAGACATTCCAGTCCTTAAAATGACCAAAAACCATCTTTGTGTACACAAAACTAGTTTGGGAATTGCTTATAAGCTATGGATTCTGTCTATTTCTTTCTTGTTCTAGATATCAATTTCCTGGCAAATCATATGACATTTTTATGACCAGGACCATGAAACCAGAAAATAAACCCTATGGTATTTTCTTGGATTTTATGTTGTGCTTGTGCTCTTTTCATGTACAATCGGACTCCACATTCAGGGGTTTAACACTTGTGGTTTTGATCTGGAAACCAATGCACTCACTGCGGAAAAAGATGCAGATCAAGAATAGGGCTCCACATTCACCTACAGACCCACAGGAATACTGATCCTGGAAGACTATCCTACTCGGCCAATGAGGGATCGCCTAAGTATGTAAGTAAGTAAGATAACACTATGTAACACATTTTTTGTTCCTGGGTTATAAATGTCATTTCCTAATTGGTTTGATCATAACAACATGGAAACACTTTATTAAACTGCAAAAACTTTGTTTTTGCAGGACATCTTGCCACACATTTTGCGATAGTTTTTCAATGAATAGCTCACAGAGTCATAAACAATTCAACAAAATTTGTGGCAGCCCCAAAAATGAAGTTTCTGGAGTATAGCAACTACTTTCAAAGTTAGTACCACAGAATTAAACAGGAAATAACACTTTCAAACCAGGAACAGAATTTTTTTCAAATTTTGTTACATTTACAGTGTATTTCTATGCCTGCCTCCTTAATCTGGGGCTGCCGGGTGAAGATTCACTGGGTTCACTGCTCATGCGTTCCCGGATCCCAAAGACAGAGTTGCCTCACTCTAAATAAAGTTCTATTGAACTCAGGGAAAATAATTTGTATTGTTTTTGAATTGCTTTAACAGTTTATTTTGATGTATTGATATGCCATGATTTTTATGATTTTTTTACTGATTTTAATGTACACTGTATTTGTATCTTTATGTTTATTGTGGCACTGAATTATTGCCAATTTGGAAGCCATTCTGAGTCCCCTTCAAGGTTGAGATAGAGTGGGGTAAAAATACAGTAAATAAGTAAGTAAATAAATAAATAATCCAAATTTTCTGTCCCTGTATAGACACTTTCAGATGTCACAGAAAGTAATTCTAAGCAACCAATGTACACATATTTGCAAAGAAAATGTGTTATTCTGTAATAGTGAGACAAGTTATGTATGGCCTCTCAGTTATACTATGCGGTTCAAAATCTTCCACTTAAAAAACCACACATACATAACAAGAAACGTGGCTGGCTGGGCACTGCACATTCAATGTGAATAGCATTAGATTTTACTTGGTTTTACCAACTCCCTTTAATCATTCCACTCACATTAGTTATCTCAAAACACATACATATTTTTGTCCAAAAAAGCAGTCTACCCCACCAGCATGACTTACCACCACTGGTGCTCTATTTCTTTGTCTCTTGCTCTTCTAAAAGCATTGTCTATACAATGAAACGATACATGAGGAAGGAGCAGGCCTTTACTGACTATGTCTGTTCCATCACCATCACACTTCTTACACCACGTTTTGACTACGTCTATAAATAAGTCTACAAATTTTAGTCAAAAATCAGCTCCAAGAAACATGTCATGACTTATCCATGGGCCAATGTGAGTAGTGTAAATTAACTGATATGAAAAAGGACTAGTGCTTTCTCTTCTCCAAGGTATGACCCTTGAATTATCCACAGGTGTTAACAAAATCAATATTTTCTGACCCAAAACATGCCTTCGAATTGCATAGGTCAACTTAGATACGACTCATTACATTACCTTCAAATCTGAAGAGAAAGACCCAGCAACTCTCTTCATAAGAGACATCATTTCATAATTTATTACATAACTATACAAAGCTTGGTTTTATAATGTTATGGTAGGGTTTTGCATTCTTGAGTTAAAGGCCACACAAAAGATTCCTTCAGAAAACACAGTATTTGTCCTTTGGTTGCATGTGTACATCATGAAATTATGACATACAGCATTATCACCTCATTTAATGCATTAAGATTCTTAGACCGGAGCAAACTATTAAAGAGATTAACCCATGTTTAAAAGATGTTTTAAAATGTACTCCTTTAAGGGCTTTACATACAGTAATGATGCCACTGAGTGCTGCCAAAAAAATTTCTAAACAAAATTAATAACAGCTTGTATAGTATCAAGTTTCTTCACTGCATCTTAAGATTTCTGTTTTCCTAGCATTCTTTAAGTAGTAACTCCACATTAGAACTTCTAGTCCTGAAGGGAGTTTATATTTACTGCTTCTAATGCATTCTTTAACAAGCTGACTTCTTAAATACTCCTGAATATTGCAGTTTATTGTATTTTTAAAAAAACTTACAAGCACTTCGGTTCTCCAAAACATTTCTCCAATTACCTTATTATCCATTAATAAGACATTAAAAACAAAACAATTTTCAGCAATCCTGATGAAAACAAGGTGTTCCAACTGTAGGTAAGTAAATGTGAACGTGTTTTTATGTCAACACGGTACTGGCCAGTTCTCTTTATCTATTTATTTTAAAGCAAAACCAGGCTGTATACAGCTGTACAAATAAAATGATAGAAACTTGGAGAGGAGCTAAGTCATAGCAGTCAGGTTAGTAAGGCATTGCTGAAAATACTCCTTTCCCAGAAATACTGAGAAACTTAACAATGGCTTTTATTCACTGAATACACTTAATATTACAAAATTCACTCAACAGATACTACACTTTTTTCCAAGTAGCTGGTTAGAAGTACAAACTGAGTGCATGGGTAAGAACACTTCAGTTTTCTAAAAAATGCAGGAAGCCAAAGGAAATAGAAAGGGAAACAGAAAAGCATCTTTCAAGAGAGAACTACTTAGAAAACATAAACTACAACCCAAGAAAAAGTGTTTGTTTTTGGTTATGTCTTTGTTTCTGCAGAATGGAAGTACCCGTATTTACCCGAGTAATGCGTCATCAAATTTAATGTGCATCTCAATTTTCAAAACCCTGAAACCAAAAAAGTATTTGCTGCTAAATGTAATGTGCAGTGGCATTTGAAATTTGGCCCCTCAAAAAGTGCGCATTAATGTAGAATTCATTGATCATAAACAATTGTGTTAGAACACCAAAGCTTCCAGCAGCAGAAAAGAAAACCTTGGCAAAAAGTCTACTCTTTGTAATTTGGCCCAAAAACAGAGCACACTACTGTTGCAGCCTGCTTAGAATTCATTCATTATAAACAATTGTGTTAGAACATCAAAGCTTCCAGCAATGGAAAAGAAAACCTTGGGTTGCCTCTATGCTGTACAGTGAATCTACTTTAATTGCCTTGGTTCAATGCTATAGAATCCTGGCGGTTGTAGTTTGACAAGGTTCTGAGCCTTCTCTGCCAAAGAATGCTGGTGCTTCACCAAACTACAAATACCAGGATTGTACAGCATTGAGCCCTGGCCATTTAATTAAAGATGATGTCCCTCAAAGAGGAACTCCAGGTGCACCTCTTGAAGCACCTTCCACTTTTGCTTTGGCTCAGCACTAAGATTACTGCATGATGCAAACCTAATGCACACCCCAATTTTGGCAAGATCATTTAGGGTGCACACTAGATTTGGGAAAAAAACGGTATATTTCTGATGCCATGAAACAAAATATCCCCTCCTCAAAAAGTATGAGTCAGGACTCAAGTGGATGCTATGCAGACATAAATGGAGTAAAACTGGATTAAACAGGGGGTTTCCAAGAGAGGCAATATGCTCCTTCTTTGGTTAGAAATGTGAGATTCAGGGACACTAGAAGGATAGGCAGAAATGGTCCGAGGACCATACTTTGGTCACGTCTGTTTCAAGATAACAGTTAAACTTTTATATTATTAGATAATAGATTAAGGGATATTTTGAAACATTTCCTCACCTTAGTGCAGAGTAGACTCCCAAAGAAAGAGAAGAATAATCAGGATCGTAGTAGAGATACACAGAAGACACACTCTTTGGAAGGATGTCAATTACACCCACAGCAATTATCTTTCCATCCAGCCAATACTGTTGATGGAAAGAACCATAGCCACAATCAGGAGCATTAGATGGGTGTTCTGCCTGGGGAGTAAAAATTAAGATATAATTAAAAATTAAATCAGTTTAATTTATTTTTACACATTATTCAACAAAGAGAGATGTAAAACTTAGAACATAGAGAATGACTGTCAAGATTTCATAAGGCAAAGTTATCCAGGAAAACCCTTCTTATTAAATTATAAAAGTCCTTATACAAGTTTAGTCTTTCTTATCCTAAATTATTGGGACTAGAGGTTTTTCAGAATTTCATATACAACGCCTGTATTTGCAAAGTGAATGGGGGATGAGGAAATGGGGGTTAGTCACACATCCAGCACCCATTCGTTTTCCCTAATGGAGCCCTGATAGAAGAAAGAGAAGAGGGGGAAGAGGACTCAATTTACACAAAGCTCTGTTAAAACGTAATTGTCTTAAACATTTTCCAAGCTTGTAGAAAAGTAGCAAGGAAGGGAGAAGATAATCCCTCTCCTCTCTCAACTATGAGGTTTTTCATTCTCTCTTCATACAAAGGTATCACTCAGTGCTCACCTTTGCAGCCCATTTCCAAGGCCTCCATTGTGTCGCGCACAACCACTGGCAGATGCTGAACATGTGACTAGCCCACCTTTCACCCGCCAATGGCAATTTTTTTTCCTGATTTTAGACTTTTAAAATTCCAGATTTCCAAAAGAGGGACATTCAATTTATATTTGGCAATTGGTTTTATCTATAGTCCCACACAAATTTTCCATAGTAGCCTTTCTACACCCCACTTAAATTTGAAAGATCCAATAAGAAGCCAGACATATGGGGAAAGTATTTTCAGGACCGAACAGCATTCTTGTCAAACTGTGATGGAGTTGGTTTTCCTTGCCTTCTCTCTGATGACCCTGAGCAATCCTGAAAAAAACACACTTTGCCAGCATAACAAACTGTTGTAATCATATAGTAAACTGCAAGGATTCTGGATGCTAAACCCCGAGTACCCAATACAATGTCAACAAACTTATAAACTTGTATTGTCGAAGGCTTTCATGGCTGGAATCACTGGGTTGTTGTAGGTTTTTTCGGGCTATATGGTCATGGTCTAGAGGCATTCTCTCCTGACGTTTCGCCTGCCTCTATGGCAAGCATCCTCAGAGGTAGTGAGGTCTGTTGGAACTAGGAAAAAGGTTTATATATCTGTGGAATGACCAGGGTGACAAAGGACTATTGTCTGCTGGAGCTAGGTGTGAATGTTTCAACTGATCACCTGATTAGCATTTGATATGCCTGGCAGTGCCTGGAGCAATCTTTTGTTAAGAGGTAATTAGATGTCCTTGTTTGTTTCCTCTCTGTTGTTGTGCTGTTGTAATTTTAGAGTTTTTTTAATACTGGTAGCCAGATTTTGTTCATTTTCATGGTTTCCTCCTTTCTGTTGAAATTGTCCACATGCTTGTGTATTTCAATGGCTTCTCTGTGTAGTGTGACATGGTGGTTGTGAGAGTGGTCCAGCATTTCTGTGTTCTCAAATAATATGCTGTGTCCAGGTTGGTTCATCAGGTGCTCTGCGATGGCTGACTTCTCTGGTTGAAGTAGTCTGCAGTACCTTTCATGTTCCTTGATTCATGTTTGGGCGCTGCGTTTGGTGGTCCCTATGTAGACTTCTCCACACTTATAAACTGTTTTTCTTTTCTAGTACAAAGTCTGAATTAATCATAAAATGTATTGCAAAAATAATCACAAAATGATTTAATTAATAAATAATTAGTAAACGTTTTCTAAAAAATATCTGTACCAAAAATATTTCTGATCCATTTTTCAATGCTTGAGAAAGCACACCTCATTCTGCCTATTTCAAATTGTTGCAATAGATGATGATGGTGGTGATATTATACAATTATTATATACAATACATACAAGGTGATACTTTCAAGTGGTTTCTAGAAGGTAAAAAATGCTTATACATGCATGTCAAGTAAACAACTCTGTTTTGTTAACAAGTATATAATTGTAATTCATGTACTGCCCACTGTTGTAATTGGTCAAAAAGAAAAAAAATGCATAGTTGAGAAGTAAAAGAGACTGTCTAGGCTGTTTGTCCAATCACACCTCCCCATATAGGTTAGCTCATCACTGTGGTCAGTGGAGGAGACCCTGCTCTCAGTCTCACCCCCATCACGAGAGACGGGGCCTTCTCTGCGATGCCCCCTCTGTCTGTGGAACTCCTTCCCTAAAAAAAATAAAAATGGCCCCATCCTCCTCTCCTTAAAAAAAAAACTCTTCTAAACGCACTTATGCATTTTAGCTTATGGAGAGGAGAAGAATATTGCAATATAGGACTCTATTCTTTTTTCACAGAAAATACCCTGAATAAGTATACACAAACATGATTCTAAAAATCAGGGTCCCACGTCATTGGTTGTGACTATTTGGTACAAATCTTAGTTGAAAATCTGCCACTTCCCAGCTTTCCTTAATGTTTTCAACATGACAAGAGCCACCTCCATGTTAGGAAATGTAGCTATGTCAGATTTGTAGAAATAATATTTAGCAACTCTATACTTGCAATGTACAAAGCAACCACTGCTGGATCCTTTATTACACAACTGTCAGTGATGAGAAAACAGATGCAATACAGTCAGAATCAAATGCAAATATAGCCAGATGTTTATAAGGCAAAGGAGTGTCGTGCCTCCTCTACTGTGTATGTGTGCGCATACGTAGACATGTGAATGAATACTTAGAGGGGTGGGCTTTCCTTTGAAAGTATACTGTAGTTTTATACCTATATTTTTAGGGAGGTTCTAGATTTAAATAAAGTTGCTATAATGCAAAAAAGTATAGGGCTCAGAAATGTAAAGCAAACTGTAATGTGCTAAAGAATTGGATGGAATGCAAAATATACAGAGTACACTGTGTTCACAGTCCAGAATATTCTTTTTCAGCCATTTTTTAAAAAAAGATTCAATTGATGTGCACTGGATAGCAAAGAAAAGAAAAGGGAAAAAAATCCCAAAATTAAAAAAACCTCAGATTGAATTTGTGGTTTAGCTCACCACACTCTAAACCAGAGGTTCTCATACTTTTGACATTTGGAAATAATTGAAACCCATCAGTTAAAAGTGTTATACTGAACTTATAAAATGGTGCAAGCCAAAGGTGGAGTTTGGCATTATCACATGGCAATTACAAAAAGAATTTTATAATGATAACTCGTCTCTCATTTTGGTAACCACTAAATTATTTGCCACAACAATTTCCTGGTAGAAGCAGTTTGATAATTCAGTTTGCCTCAAATTTATAATGATATTTAATCCTTTTTCAGAAATATGGAAATCACTGTGGCAAAGAATTTAGATTTCCATAACTCGGTTTTTCTCCAAAGGATAAAGATTGAATCTGAGGTTATCATGAAAATACGTCCCCAGTTTCTGAAAAACAGTGTACCCATATATACTCCAGTATAAGTCAACTCAAATATAAGTCAAGGCACCCAATTTTACCACAAAAACTAGGAAAACGCATTGACTCAAGTTTAAGCTGAGAGTGGAAAATGCAGCAGCTACTGGTAAATTTCAAAATAAAAATAGATACCAATAAAATTACATTAATTGAGGTATCAGTAGGTTAAATGTTTTAATATTTACATAAAACTGTAATTTAAGATAAGACTGCGCAACCCTGATTAAACCATTATTCTAACCTTCTTCAATGCAAATGTACTTATGTATCCTTCCAATAATATCAGAGTAAAATAATAAATGTAATAATAATAAAGTAAAATAATAGAAATGAGATAATACAAATAATAACAGAGTAAAAGAACTTAAATGTAATAACAATAATAATAGAGTAAAATAATAAATGTAATAAAAATAATATTAATAACAGAGTAAAATAATAAATAACCTTGAGTTGAGTATAAGCCAAGGAGGGGGGGCTTTTTCATCTTTAAAAAAGGGCTGCAAAACTCAGTTTATACTTAGGTATATATGGTACATCTGGGCTTTTCTCAAGAATGTATTTCAGTTTACTAATCACTGAATCAAAGTCATTAGGATGAATAAGATGCACGTGGATAAAAGATACTATACAATCAATTATAACACCAGCATAAACAAATTAAACATCTGACTATAATTAAATGATTTTTATTTTCAAGACATTTTTCCTCCCCTGCAATATGAATAAATGTTTGTCTCTTGAGTAGGGGGTGCCAGATCTGCGTGGTCCCCCATCTGCAGCCATGCTCACTCCTGCCTCTCTCACAAAGATTAGAGACAATGCATATATTGAGCATGTCTAGAATAGATTATATGACATCTACAGCAGTGGTTCCCAAATCTTTTCGGTCATGGAACCCTTCAGGAAGATGTTTCCTCCCTGCGGAACCTAAACCTAGTCCCTGATTTTCTTGTGGAACTCTAACACTGTCCCTAAGCACAAAGTCCTTTCTCCCTTAATCTACTCCTATTGCTTGGGTGTTTTGGATAATGCAGTAGGTTTGAAAATAAAGTGATTCAAATTTTGTTTTTAAATCAGAGATACATTGAATTGCCATAAGATCTTCTCACTCTTGCACAGGCTTAAAAAAATTTTTTTTTAAGTTCAATATTTTTTGCAGAATCCCAATGATGCTTTTGCGGAATCCTAATAAAAAAAATTAAAGAAAAAAGCCAACAACAAACATTTCTTCTAGAGGATACAACAGAATATCTCTCTGACTCAAGTATGGAGAAACCAGGTAGGAAATGTAACTCCAGCAACATCTATCGGTAGGGGAAGGAGAACTACTTGTCAACTTCTAGATTTACTATATATACTCGAGTATAAGCTGACCCAAATACAAACCGAGGCACCTAATTTTACTACAAAAAACTGGGAAAATTTATTGACTCAAGTATAAGCCGAAGGTGGGAAATGCAGAAGTTATTGGTAAATTTCAAAATAAAAATGGATACCAATAAAATTACATTAATTGAGGCATTAGTAGGTTGATGTTTTTGAATATTTACAAAACACTGTAATTTAAGACTGTCTAACTCTGATTAAACCATTAT